GAAGGAAGGAAGGAAGGAAGGAAGGAAGGAAGGAAGGAAGGAAGGAAGGAAGGAAGGAAGGAAGACTGAAAGCCACAAGCAGGAACGCAAAACCCCACATAAACAAAGAAGTAAAGCATTGTCAATCACTCTCCTGGGGTATGTCTATTGCATTTTTATTGTCATCAATTTTCCCAATGACCGAGCACTGCAGACACTGTCAGTGTGAGGAGTCTATGTGAATATGGTTCCACCTTGAGCTGGAACACACGAGTTTTTGGTGATCCTGGGTCCCGTTCCTTTAGATACCCACTGAGCTGGAGGTTCCCCCAAGTTCCAATAACTGCCACTTTCACCCTGCTGTGGCAGCCACTCTCTGCTTCCTCTCCTATGCAAGTACCCCAATCCTCATTCCAAGGGTTCAGGCAGCTTAGAAGAAGCATTCAGCTCACTCAGCAGGGCCTCTATGTGAAGTCCTTTAGGTGTAGCCCCTGAATTATGCCATGCTGCCTACAAGGCCAAGCTTCCGTGATCATCATGGTGATTAGTCCATGGAGTGGTTCACTGGAGGTTGGATAGAAGCATATTCACACTGCGCAGCCCTGAAAATAAAATCTGGCCGATTGTCCCCTAGGTTCCCTACCCTTATTGTTAGGCATCCCTTCCTGCTGTGAGTTTAATTCTCCCCATACCCCCCAACATAAATATCAGCATCTCCTCCACAATGTAGATGGTCCTCCTTCCTGGTGTTGGCTTGAATTTCCAGAAAGCGTCTCCTTCCATTCCTGTGGGGGACCATAGATTTGTTCGCCTTGTTTTCATGTTGTGCAGCCTCTAGTGGATGATCTTCTCCCAATCCCCCCCTCTTAATGGACTGACCCCAATCAATGTGGGGTCTCCTCCTTCACCTTGGCTCTTGGGAAGTGCTCACAAGGGCGATGATGTTTGGTTCATGACCAGAAAGTAACCCTTCTCGCCTTTTGTTCAGGAATGGATTCCTAAGGTTTATTTAATTGGTGTTTCTTCTTATAGTAGTAGACTCATACAATGTTTGACCTTTTGTAATTAACTTGCTTCACACAGCATAATCACTTCCAGGTCGTTTGATGTCATGTGGTGTTTCATACTTTCATCGCTGTTTTTAAGGGATGCATAGTATTCCATTGTTTGTATGTACCATAGTTTCTTTATCCATTCTTCCACATTTGGGTATTTTGGTTGCTTCCATTATCCAGCTATGGTGAACTGTGTTGCTGTGAACATGAGAAAGCACAATTCTGATTGCTTCGGGTCTCTTATTTCTTTGGGGTATATGCCGAGTAGTGGTATTGATGGATCCTATGGTTATTCAATTTCCAGTTGCAGGCTCGGAAGCTCACAGGGGAAGTAATATACTGACCTAGAGGGTAGCAACGAGTCAGCATCACTTCAGTGGCAATCAGAGAGAGATAAGAATATTTACAAACCTATTTTCTAAACACTCAAATATTTGAACTGTACTTCCATACCTCATATTAAATTTGCATTTTCTGAGACCATTGATAAAGAGAGTATTCTTTGTTTATCTAAAAACAAAGATTGACTTCCAGCAGGAAAATAATTGTGGGTCCATGTTTATAACATAGGTGATATAGAGGAGTGCGGAAATAAGGAGAGAGTGTCAAATGATGTGTAATTGACCTCATAGGGTTAGAGAATTAACAATATAGACTGTCCTGGGATAAGAGAGACAATACATGTGTTGGCTTAATGAGGCCCTTTGGATATTGAGCCTCCAGAGAGACAGAAACTGCCAATAGCAGGTGTACAGCATTGCACTTAAAGACTCTTCCCCTATAAGGAGGGATTACACCTGACCAAATTGCCCGAGATGATCTTTTCTGCCCAGGAACGTAGTGCTTCACAGAGACCCTCTGTCTTTCCTGAGGCTAGACCTCCTCTTTTCTACATCCTGGATAGATGCCAACCATTAACCCTTGAGGATGCCAACCAGGTAACCTAAAGTCCGTTAGTATATGATTTGGAAGAGGTGCAGGTGTTTGCCGACAGGAAAATGCAGGAACACATGCATGTGAATAAAGTAAGTGTAGGTAAAAATTGGAGCTAGGACTGTCCTGGGAAACATTTTAGTTTGTATATTTCAGGTCCACTTTCTTTTTATCTTAACATGGTTGTCAAAAAAAGTCACCAATTCTTTTCATCTCTTCCTCTGCTGTAAAAAGATGCTTTTATGGTTGAGCAATAGCCAAACTTTTTAAAACAATGAAAAGTGTTATGAAATTCCATGGCAATTACTGGAATTCTATGCTTGCAGAGGTAGATTGAGACAGTGGCTGAAACAACAGGCTGGAGATTGGAGCAGTTAGTAGGATGGCCCAGGACTCTGTGGTGTTTCCTTCGGTTGTGGGTGGGTCATTATGAGTTGGAACTGAGTTGATGACACCAAACAGCAATGTGGTTGTGGTGGCAGAAAAGGACTTGTCATCTTCTTCTAACCCTCTTCATTCTTAGCACATCTTTGTGTTATCACTAATGTGGGTCTCTGATCTCTAGGGAATGACATTGTGTCCCAAGTGGACTAATCAGGATGCCATCCAGGTTTCTCGTGTTCTGTTTTTTAAAGGCTAAATATTTTAAATGAACACATAATCATAGCTATTGAAATAACAATAAAAGTATGCATCTAGTTCTTTTATGAGTCAATGTATTTTTTCCTTTTTTAAAAGATTCAAAAATCAAATCCAGAAGGTAGGCTTTTGACATCCCATTTATTCTTCTATTCCTTTCCACAAGAGAGAGTCTGTGTCCAGTGGATCTGCTGCTGAAGTTTGGGGGAACACACAGCTAATTTTCTTTTTCCTTGATCTCTTAATCAGAGTCATCAACAGGATAGCACCCAGAAACCACACGGTCATTACAGAGTTCATTCTCCTGGGACTCACAGATGATCCAGAACTTCAGCCCATCATTTTTAGCCTGTTCATGATGATGTATCTGATCACTGTCCTTGGAAACCTGCTCATTGTCTTGGTGGTCATCTCTGACTCCCACCTGCACACACCCATGTACTTCTTTCTCTCCCATCTGTCCTTTACTGACATCTGTGTAAGCTCATCTACCATCCCAAAGATGTTGTTGAACATCCACACGCAGAATCCGACCATCACTTTTACAGGCTGCCTCAACCAGATTTTCTTTGTCCTGTTTTTTTGTGCTTTTGAAAATTTTCTTCTAGCAGCAATGGCCTATGACCGCTATGTTGCCATTTGTTACCCACTGAGGTACACAGTCATCATGAATCCTTGCTTCTGTGGCCTGCTGATTCTGCTTTCCTTGCTAATAAGCATAATGCTTTCTTTGCTGCACAGTCTTATGATTTTACATCTGTCTTTCTGCACACACCTGGAAATTCCTCAGTTTTTCTGTGAACTTGCTCAGCTCCTCAAGATTGCCTGCTCCAGCACCCTCATTAACAACACCCTCATATACTTTTTTGCTTCCATTTTGGGAGGTGTTCCTCTCCTTGGGATCATATTCTCTTACACCCAAATTGTCTCCTCTGTTTTGAGGATACCATCATCTAGTGGGAAGTATAAAGTGTTTTCCACCTGTGGGTCTCACCTGTCAGTTGTTTCTCTATTCTATGGGACAGGTGTGGGTGTGTATATAAGTTCTTTATTTACACAGTCTTCCAGAAAAATGGCAGTAGCCTCAGTGATGTACATTGTAGTGCCCCAAATGATGAATCCTTTCATCTACAGTCTGAGGAACAAAGACATAAAGGTAAGCTTGAGAAAACTCCTTGTTAGGAAAACTTTTATGTAATGATTGCATCATCTCTGGATATTTATTGATAACTATGTGGTAATCCCTTTTTGAGCATCAGCATCATTCACACGGAGTTTCATTTCAGCAAATGATAATATATTCATAGTTGTTCTAGGTAATGGTAGGATATTTCAATATCTACAGTGATGAATCATTTGGGATTAATACTTAAGAGACTTTGAGACACTTCTTTGCTCAAAAAATAAAAGAGCTATTTTTCCTTTGAAGGAGTTTTAGAGAATTTACCGAAATAGAAGAGAAGTCTTGAACATGATGGCTTCAACCTAAGACTAATTTTCCTCATGGTCCCTAGATAGTTATTACAGCTGCATATGTGATACCACCAAGGGAATCGAATACCAACAGAAAGAAAACATATTGTCTTTCTCTTGTTTATAGTAAGCTGTTCAACAGAAACATCAGAAAGCATGTGTCCCATAGGATAAGTGTTTCATACCAGTATACTATTTCTACCTACTATATTTTGAAACCTTTCAGGATCATTAACATGATAAAGAGTGGCTACTGCATTTATTAAATAAAGGATCTTTGCAGGGGTGTTTAGTTGATGGGGATAGCTTGGGATTAATGATACTATAACTGGGGTTTGTAATCATGATACAAAATACCATATCTATGAGTTGTTGCAAGATAAACTGCCTTTCTTTTAAATTTTTCAGCTAATAATTAATTCACCATAAAAGCTTATTTTAAAGGAGGGATCATTTGAGGTTTCATAGAGCAGTTAAATTGAGCATCTCTTCAGACGACAGGTATCCTATATATCATCAAGTACTAAGTACCTCCACCTTTGTCCACAGAACTTGTATATATTTCAATTT